AGCCCTTTGCTGCAGCTAACCTTACTTCCACAGGCTACAAACAGCAATATAAACAACATCTGTGCATGCTCTCTTCACGCCGTTCTTGTAAAATAATAATAATTTAATAATATAAGTATACAAGCACAACGCTCCGCTGAGAAGTGCACTTACTGGCAGCCACAGACGTTATGAAGGCATCCTGGTAGTGTGCTAAATTAAAGGTGTCTGAACGTAAGGGATCATCTCGGATGAGATCGTCAGGTGAAAGGTCATAATTATGTGGATAATTTTATTTACGGCTAAATTATTATTCATTAATTTTACTAATAGTTAGATTGGGCAGGCCTTCACAAAATGGCGTTTAATTACAAAAATAAAGTGTCTTGACAAAAGGGCACTTTGGGCATCAAGGGGAAAAGGGGCAGGTGCTCAAGCACCCATCGCACCCCCCTCTGCACGTGCCTGCAGGATTGGTGCAAACTAAACTAAAATTTACCTGGCTAGCCAGCTAATCCGACTTCATGGTACAGGCCCCAGATGGAGGGATGCTATGGCAGCCAACTTCTACTACTCTCAAAGAACACACAGAGTTTGTGAAGAAGACGGTCTGTGTATAACACTGTGTATATCATGTATAATGATGTGTATTTTTATTTTTTATTTATGTTTTTATTTTAAAATGAGAGTGATGATGGGGAATGTAAGTGTTCAAGAACATTTGATTACTGCAATAATATCATGCACAAAATTTACAGTGTTCATGTTTTCAATCAATCAATCAAGGTTACAGTAGACTCTGTTCTTCACATTATTATTATTATTATTATTATTATTATCATTTACATTAGTTAATGTAGTAGTGGTTCTATAATTTCTTAACCGCTTTCACATGTATCAGGCAAATATGGCGATGTAGTTTATTACAAGACACATTACTAAAATAACAACAACAGTCCCTCATATATTTACTCACAATGCCCTAGTTCTCCTGCATAATTATGAACGCCATTGTTCAATGGAAAATCCCACTGAAACATTTTATACGCTCTTACTACTTCTCACGAGAAACATCAATGCGACCCAGCTGGTGATTTAAAGAGTGACTCTGTGAGGTCTAAAGGTTTTTGATGGATCGTGTTGATTCAGATGCGTTATGCTGAATGGATTGTGTGGAATGCGCAAAGCATTTGCCACTCGTCTGCGGTTTAACAGTTCTTGCCACAAAATCTGTCGCGGCTTCGTCGTAAGACTTAGGCTGGGCTAAACGCTTGCATGGGATTCTTTGCAGTAGTGCAACAAGTTCGCAGAGGGCTAGTACAAGCCGTGAAACCAGTCGCCGCTGACACTATCTTTCAGTGCATGAGCGCGCACCGCCCCGAGACAAATTGAAATAATACATAGACTCGGTCATTCTCTTCCCGGCAGTACTGGTGATTGCACATAGTAGTATACGATTGAGAGTGAGTCATGAGGGTTTTAGGAGCAAATAAGGATTCCCGAAACGCGGTGAAAATGGAGAACGAAACCGATCATGGCAAGCGACGGCACTGTCTTGGAGCTTCAGTGGATGTGATGCCTTTTGTGTTTTCTCTTGTGTCCTTCGCCTTTTGTTTTTTACTGAGCGTTCAGACCAGTGATATGAAGGACAGAATCGTGGATCTGGAGATTGGAAGTGGCGCGGGGGTCTTAAACCCGTTTCATGGGATCTCTATGGATCAATTTAATGCAATGATCCAGGAGCGAGTGGACGAGCTGCTGTCACAGGTGAGCATTCCATCCACAGCTTTAACTCAAGCCATTTTAGTTAACAGCATTGTCATCTTTTCTTACAAATACGAAACACTCCACACTCATGTATGACAGTGGCCAGTGCACCTTCATGTCACCTACATTCATTTAGGGCTAAACGTTTACTTGTTTCTTTTATCTATTGATTCTGACAGCGTTCTTATGAACACTTGGTTAGAATAAGGACTGCCCGTCAAGTCTCACCACCTGAATGCAACTGTCCACCAGGTACTGCCTTTATATATATATATATATAGTTGGTTTTCACTGGTGGAATTTCACTGTTAACTATTCATTTGATATAGTATTTATTTCTTATTTAGCCTACTAGTATTTCTTAGGATTCCAGTTTCCTAGTACTCAATAAGACACTAGTACCCAATTTGTTAGACTAGTATTATTATTATTTTTTTTAGAATTGTTGTAGTACATGTAGTACAATTATTTCTATTTATATTGTTAATCTTATTAGTAATATTCCGATTAAACTAGCCATTCTGACTAATCGTTATATACGACAGGTAAAAAAGATACAAAATGTTATAAATAAATTAATACTAGTGTCTTTAAACAAGTACTATAATCTAACAAATAAGAACTACTAGAACTGGAATACATACTATAAACTATACTATGCTATAAACCAGTGTTTCTCATCACTAGTCCTTGGATCCCACCTCCCAGTATGTTTTAGATGTCAACCTATTCAACACGCTAAGAAAGCAATGCTTTAAATTAGGTGTTTTAATTAGTGAGATATCTAAACATTCTGGTAGGTGGGTACACAGTATTTGAGTTAAGAAACACTGCCATCGGAAATTATCTAATGAATACTTACTAGTAAAAAAAAGAAAAGAAAAAAAAGGTAATGGTCACTATATAATTTCCTAGTAGCGATCAAAAATAAGTTTCATAAAAAAAAAAAAAGTTACATAAAATATGCTAGTTAAATTTGAGGAGTAAATGCTTGCCATACTAAAATTTAAGTTGCTGTTTATGAAGGGGTTATTGATGGTATGCAATGTCCACCAGAATGCAGAAGACAGGATCGAAATCAGTCTGGTTGATAGCCTAGAAAGAAGAGATGTCATCCTGAATTTGGCAAGTGATGATAATATGAATTTAATATTCTGGAGTATGTCATTTTGGGGCACTCAGCGGGACAAAGCTGCTGTTCTGCATGATCTTATTATTTTCCTTAATAGTGCTTTTTGCAACACTATTTTTTGTCTGATTGTAAGGCATACAAAACATAAGTGGAAGGTGTATTTTAGTCTACTTTTAAATTTTGCTCCATTACAAATGACAGATGATAGTTAATAGCCACCTGTATAACAAATAAATAGTAATTTATCGTCTAACTACAATAATTTTTTGAAAGCTCTTAATTCATTTGTTGTCTTAGTCACTTGAGATTTAAAAATGGCAAAAATTTTTTTTTTTTTTTTTTAGTGCAAACAGTTTATACAATTAATGAATGATATGTCAGTTTCAAAGCTGAGTGAATGTCTTTGGGCTGAAACACTGAAAATACTTAATTCAACCAGCAGATGGAAACAAAAAAAATACTTGTAGTTGAGGTTCAGTAATCCAAAATCAGGCTGAACTAACACTGAAGGTGTTAAGAGTCAGTGTAGCAGAGCAAATAAAGTGTGCTTATAGGACATGAACAGAAGACAAGCACACAGAAGATATGACTTGTAGTGTGTGCAAAATTTTTACGAAAGATACTTTTTATGACTAGTTTGACTAGTCAAACGGGTTAAAATGCATTACAACGTATTCAGTCAAATTAAATTAAAGTGGCAACGTCAACAATGATCAATAGTCTATTACACAAAACATTTTGAGAGGAAATTTGGAGGGATGTCATATTTAGTAGAAAGGAGTTACTGTCTATTCTGTTCTGTTCTGTTCTGTTCTATTAAATAAAAAAAAACTAGCTACGTGTACTGTGCTAGACTAACTGAGACTTGTCATAGCACTTGTATACTGTTGTTGTTCTCTCGTTGGTCTGATTGCTTTTATTGTTCTCATTTGTAAGTCACTTTGGATAAAAGCGTCTGCTAAACGATTAAATGTAAATGTAAATGTAAGTATACAACTATAATAAGTCACAGTCTCCATCAATAGCACATTTTAAATTTTTGCCTGATGGGTGTCTGGTTTGTGCAAAAATGAAACTAGTGAAATATTGCACACCAGATGAAGTACATCAACAAAACCTGTAGCTCTCCATTAGCACTACTAATTTAAAGTTTTACAGTTGAAAGAAATAACTGACTGTATTATCCTTCTTGGCTTTCAACAGTGTTGATTGCCAACTCATGCACTTCATACTTTGATGAAGGGTGTTTCTTCAAACTGCCTTATTTGTTTTATCGTCCAGGTGATATGTGAAAATAATGTTCACTTTTTCATAAAAGCATGAAACTTGGTACACTTGTATAGTTTGCGGCCCTAAACATTTTCAGAAATGGAGCCATTGCAAAAACGCCTCGTGGTTGCCATGGTGACCATTTTACTTTCCGCCATAACCAAATTATGTATTTTGTGTTATATCTCCTGAACCAAACATGATAACACAGAAAAGGTTATGTCTACCCCTATGTTTTGATGGCCAAGGGTTACAATGATACCATATACAGCAACATAAACTGTTCAAGAGAAGAGTTAATT